TTTTTGCCATTCATGCAGACGTCTAATACACACGCACGTATAATCACGTGGTCTGCTGACTGCGCAGTTAACAGCGACTGCGCTTGGGCTGCGCTGCAGTGTGAGCAATAATATGAGAATTTATTTATTGAATAACTTCATTTGCAGACAATCTTAATGAAACTTTCAAAACGTAATCATATGGTTAAAATGTGTGTACATTCCTAAGCACAAGTCTCTAGTACTATTCCTTCTGCCCGTTACATACTTTTTTTTACAAAACCATTATACCTTGATTTCCTTTTTTCAATGGGTTCAGGGTATAAAAATGCACAACGGGTTTCGAATCGACTTCCATCTGGCATTCTTAACCTAAAATAATAACTTTAAACTATGACCCACCTGGGAACATGACTTATAAGTCCTATTGATATACTCTTCTGTTACGTGTAAATCCAAAGAAGTTACATAAAGATCACCTGAAATACAGTTAGAATTAGTATTTGACATAATATGAAATAAATAGTAGTACCTTTATCATTTGTCTTTGTACCAGCAGCTTTAGAGAATTTTGATTGATTTGGAGAGCATGTCAATTCGCAAATATGACGAGCCAAATTGGTCATACATGATGGGCAACGTTCTAAAATTGCCGCAGCGAGTTTAATGTTCTCATTCAATATTTTTACCTAGTATAGAAAATTAGTGAATTTTCAATAATAAATCTTTATAAAAATACCTGATCTACGTCACAACAGAAATTTTTTGCCTCAGCTTGAAGTAAAAAGCTGCACCTTTCTGTTAACAACTTCAGTCCATCTTCAGGCATCTCTTTTGGAGTGCCATTATAGGAACAATATTGATTATGATTCAAGGCATCTGTGTTACAAACTCCATACCAGACACAATCCTAAAAAATATTTATTGGATTAAATTTGACAAAACTCTTAGGCTGATGTCAGAGTGGCCGCGATAAGCGATGCGATGCTATAAGCGATATTTATTTCAGCGATCTGCAAAGCGATGACATGATAGCGAAATTTATCCGCAAGAGAGAAATATTGCGAGTGTTCAAATTTTAGTCTCAATCGCAATGTTTTTGTGAAAAAAAAAAAAACAACGGGATCCATTCACTAAATGAAAAAAGAGTTTCATTGCATATATCCAAATTTAAAACGAATGACCATCAATTATTGACGTTTTCAGAGTAAAGCCGCTTTCACAGTAACTCATTTATTATTGTTTATTTTATAACTTACTTGTTTTGATGCACAAAATAACGAAACAAATATCCAAAATATGAAAATGTTAACTACAGCTGTTGTGTGCCGTTGTATAATCATTTTGCAGTTGATTCAAATATTTTAAGTTTCATATCTAAAATAAAATAAGGAAATACATAAATTTATTAATCTATGCGTTTATGCATAATTGAAATGGTGAAATCTTACTGGTTTATAATTTATTATTTTAGGTTGTTAGATGGAATTAAGGAATCATATCGCTCATTATTGCAGCTTATAATCTACGACTAGAAACCTTAAATATAACAAGTAAAACAGCTCTAGCCGAGCCTGCTCGACACACAGCCAGGGTGGAGGGTAGAGTTGAAGGATAGCTCAATCCACATTGAGGTTATCAAAGCGATTTCGACCAGCTTTTGATGGACAGCAAAGAGCTCTTCCAATTGGGAAAGCCAAAACTCTGCTCCAGCTGTCCAAAATTTGAATAGGATGGGTTGTATGTCGTATCCAAGCCGTGGACGTGCCTCGATTATGGACATATTGCAGCAACTGCGGCAGCGACTGTGACCTAAAGGGTGCCTGTGGAGAGATGGGTCACAGTGCAAAAGCCTCTGTAGCCTCTGCGTCCGAAAAGACGAAAAGCAGACGGACCACTCAGCAGACAGCTTCAAGTGGCCAACCTACCGTGAAGCTGCGCGTGAAATAAAATGTTAAGGCTCCTGCAGCTTAACTTAAATCATTGTGGTGCTGCCCAAGATCTTCTAGAGCAGACCATAAGGGGAAAATGTATAGACGTAGCCTTTCTCAGCGAGCCTCATCACTGTAGGACCAGCTGCCCTAGGACATGGTCAACAGATGCTAATGGCAAAGCAGTGTTGTGGGTATGTGGCAACTTAACGAATGTACTTTCGAATCTTAAGTGATTTAATGGGTTCGTACGTGACCGATACCTGGCTCCCATGTATCTCAGTGAATTCACAACGGTGCTTGACGAGCTTGCTGAGGATGCTAGGGGTCGGAAGGCCAATATTGCAGGATAGCCACACAACAAATGCCAGAGGCCGTATCCTGTTCACAATAGGTGAGCCACCTACCAGGGCGTCAACCTTGTGGAGAGAATCGTATCAGCTGATCCCGCGGATTCCGGAAGGCCCGGTCAACAACAGATGCTCTAGAAAAAGTTGTTGGCCTGGCAACTTCCACCATCCAAGGCACCAGATGGAGGCA